ACCTAATCAATTTTAATTAAGTACCTAAATTTTTTTTACAACTTCTACTAACTAACAAGCATGAAGAAAATAAGAGTCAGAGAAAACTAAGCTAATTTCCTTCTCTTATTCAAAAATCTCTTTTTTTCCTAATTTATATTCAATCTTATTTATTGGTATATTGTAATGGAGTATATAACTGCATTTGTAATTAAAATATCCAAGATTCTAAAGTTGACTTGAGCCCACCACTTGGCATATAATACCATGCCCATCCTTGAAAACCTTGGACATGGTAGATATATAGACATAAAAATAGTCAAGGATTTCAACTATTAGTAGTCACTTGATTGCCACATGATAAATCTTATAATGTATCTTTCCTTTGTAATTCATTTCTCTGGCCCTCAATGTGCTTGATTGATCAATTTCTTTATCAAGTGTGCAAGAATATCTAGTGCATGTCCTACATCTATCTATTCAATTTGTCATGTTCCACGCCCTATTCTCATTCATGAACTATTTTTATTTTAATATATTACGACAACAATAACATATTCAGTGAAATCCCACTAAATGGGTCTGAGGAGGGTAGTAGAGTGTATGCAAACATTTTCATTACCTCGTAAAGGTAGAGAGATTGTTTTTGAAAGGTCTTCGGCTCAAGTGCATCAAATCTAGGAAAAAAAAGGAAGAAAATAATGAAGGAAGCCTAAGAAGAAGCAATATGTAGAGTCTACACGAAAGAAACAATACCAGCACCAAAATAATGTGATGATCGAAATATAATAAACAACATATGTCAAGAACTATCAGGGTACGACTAGTACTACGCCAGGCCTAACAAGTCTAAACCAGACAAGACAACACACTCTACTCCTACTAACCTTCTAGCCTAATAAACAATCTTCACTCCTTATCTTATTTATGTCCTTGATAATATGTCCTTGATAATATGAAGTTGTGGCATGTTTTTTCTAATCATCTCTCCCCAATACTTTGTTGGCCTACCGCTACCCCTCCGCGTACCCCCTACAAGGCTACAACCAGCCTTTTGCACCTCTTCACTGGGGTGTCGGCGCACCTTCTCTACACATGCCCAAACATCTCAGTCTCGCTTCCCTTATCCCGTTCTCCAAAGAGATCAGTCGCACCTTCTCCCCGATAACCTCATTCCTGATCTAATTGTCACTCCTAGTATGCCCACGCATCCATCTCAACATCCCCATCTCCACAATATGCATTTTCTGAATATGTGAGTTCTGCCAACACTCCACCCCTAACCACCAGTTTATAGAACATACCTTCAATTAAGTTTAGATGGTACCGACCTTCTTATCACACAAGACTCCAGAGGCAAGCCTCCATTTCATCCATGCTGCCCCAATGCGATGTCTGACATCATTATCGATGTCACTACTACCCTGAATTACAAACCAAACTACTTAAAACTCTCTCTTGAAAATAGTCTATGTGGCAAACCTTACTTCCACGTCCGCATTATCCAATGAAACACTCTAAAGGTACCATAAGTAACATATCTCCTACAAAACGCTTATAAAATTCAGACACTGCACTCTTCTCTTCTTCCCTAATTACTCGTTACAAAATACAATTATGTTGTTGTGAAAAATTTAAGTTAATAGATGAATTTTGAATTTTATAGGCATTGAAAATTCTTGAGGAATTCTACTACAATCCCTACAACAACTATTTTAATTCCCCTTTCAAAACCTATTTTTCTTACACATTCTCCATTAATAAGCATTTGTTTTTCTTGAGACAAAAATAAATAAATTGTTATTCTCTTTTGCCTAACTAGGACTAATTTGGGCCTCAACTTGTGGCCTTAAACAAGAATTACTCTTCGAAATTCCAGTGGTTGTAACTAGGGGCAGACCCACTTGTATAGGTGGGGTGCATGTGCATCCATTAACTTCGAAAGAATTCATGTATATACACATATCTATCTTAAGAAATGGATAAAAACAGAGAATATAATAAAGAGCGCACCTTAGAGAACATTAATACTGCTTTGGTCCGCTGGTAGATGCAAGAGAATTCACCCCTGCAACCAGTGGCGGAGGCAGGAATTCTATTAAGGGGGTTCAAATAAAAAAAATGTTGTTGCTTGGAATCGAACCCGTGACCCAAAGCTCACATAGGCTGAATCCTGACCCCCCATAAACCACTGAGCTACTCCTTTGACATATGCTCAGGGGGTTCAATTTTAAATATATACACGTACACAAAAAAATTGATCGTATATATATAGTGTAATTTTTTTTCCGAGGGGGTCGGATGACCCCCTGGACACACTATAGATCCGCCCCTGCCTGCAACTTGGGTTTGATCCTAGACAACATCCTATTTTTACCCTTTTTTACTCTTTTTATTACAAACTTAAGGGTATTATAACTTCAAAATTGTTAAATAGGGGGATTCGAACTCATGACCATCCAATAGCTATTAATGACTAATCAGATACTCCTCCGTCCACTTTTATTTATCATTTTGCGCTTTTTGAAAGTCAATTTGACTAATTTTCAAAGTTAAATTAGATTACATTAATTCGATATTTTAAACAAAAATTTAGATATTCAAAAACAATATGAAAAGTACTATAAATTGCAATTTTTTGCATATCAATATGATTAAAAAATACATCGAAAATGTTAGTCAAAGTTTTTATAGTTTGACTCTAAAAAAGGAAACTATGACAATTAAAAGTGGACAGAGGTAGTACAACATTATCCATTATTCGACATTAAAAAATTCGCTATTATCCATTAATCATCATTGAAAAATTCGCTAATGCTTAAATTAAGATATTATTGGTGTACCCAGACTCTTTAAATTAATCTTGAATTCGCCTTTGGTTGTAACGTTCGTTAATCATTAATCAGTCGTTACAATTGATAATTCTTTGTGACAATAATTTAAATTAATCTAGCAAATATATATAGAATTAATTTTGGACCTATAATATTAAAATTTTAACGGTTTTCAGTAGTAAAAATCTAAATGTCAAACCTAAATGACAACCTTATATATGTAGAATTAATTAAAATGTCAAAGGTGCTACCAATTACTACGTACCACCGTCCACCTAGAGAAGTGTTATCTAATTTTAGAAAGAAAAATAAAACAAGATAAATATAAAATTCAAATTTCTAACCTCCTGTAAAGAGGTGCACCCGGTCATTATTCCATTATGTGATACTTCGAGTTGGGTTCACACATCTATATTTTAATTTTTTTTTAAAAATACAACACTACTATATATGATCTCGGGAGGAGAGAATGAGTTCACGTGAACCCGGTGACCCCTTGGATACGCCTCCACTTAATACAATAAAAAATGAATCAACAATCAACCGACACCAAGAAAACATTAAAAGACCAAAAATTATAAATGTAGATATATAAATAAATAAAAGGTAAAACTGTAATGCAGTTTCATATTAATATAAAAAAACAAAGAGGTAGAAGAAGAAACAAAGAAACAAGAGAGATTTACTATATCACCTTAAGTATACTTATATTATGTTAATTTTTCAAAAGTATATTTACGTTATGTATATATATATTATATGAAACTGTAGCAGCTAAATACATATAGCACAGTATTCGTTGAAATAGTCAAATTAGTTCATTAGTTGGTTCACACATAAAAAATAAAAATAAAAATAAGGAGGAGAGAATAATTATTTGATTCATCAAGTCAATATCTAGTGATAACAAAGGATAATAGGGTGAATTGACAATAAACAAATTGGTAGCAATTACATCTGTGGGAGTCCACCACTAGTCCATGTATTGTGTAATGAAATTATGGAAGAACTTTGTGAGTAAATGGACAAATTATTAGGTGGGGTTTTTCTTAATACTCCATTTAATAACGTCAAAAATTCCATAAGACTTTTTGCCACTTTGACCCAACTTACTTCATTTTTCCTTCACGCATACACTAATTAATATGTGTGAATATTCATTGCAGTGTAGGAATAAAATTACTTCTTTGAGTAGTATATACATACCAAAATTAAACATAAAATTAGTCATGTTATATATTCATCTTAATTCTCATAAAATGTATTAGCTTGATGGACAAACGTTAACTTCAGGAGCACCATTTTTGGTGTATCATTAAAGATAGTATATATTTAATGTGGACCTCCATTAAAGAAAAGAAAAAAAGTAGTGTAGAGATCCACTATGTATTCTTATACTAGAGGATATTGTAGGCAGTCAGGATGTCCAATTGAATGTTCTTTGTTGGAGAAAAATATATTATATATAAATAAAATGATACACAAAATAATTAAATAACATATTGTGAACACCCGACTGTTAATAGATTAGTGATTTCAGATGCCTAGGAGGTTCGAATTCTCAATATCACTCATTGAAAGTACATGAATCAAGAATTTTATCTAGTGATTCCATAAAAATGACATTTTTGGCCACATGATGGCTACGGTTTGACGGTGAACGTTTCATGAGATAATTTTGTTTATTAATGTTTTCTTGTTAAAAGCACTATCCAACAACATTACATTTATTGCCAAACCAGTGATTAGGAGTGGCAAACGAGCGAGTCGAGTCGAATATGAGTCGATCAAAAATGAATTAAATAAAAATGGATAAAAAACTCTACTCGACTCACATTTTAAATGGGTAAAAACGAGTTACCCAATGGATATTATGGATACCCATATTTTTCCATATTATAATAGAAATCTTGTTAAAAGCTTTCAACTCCCCTCCCCCCCCCAACCCATTCCAAAAAAATATTAACAAAATTTAAATTTATTCCATTAAATTTTTTAAATTTTTTAAATATAACGTGAATTTATCTTCTAGTATAACTAGGATTCGTTGTTGTATCACTTTTATGACTCATTATTGTATCAACGCCTATATATACTCTTCATCAACTTATGAATAAAATAAAATTCTTCTCATTCTCTATCTAGTCTTATAAGTTGTTTTATGGTATTAGGGCTCTAAAAGCTCACATGAGTACGATCCCAAATTTTTCTCCTCTAACCCTACCTACTGCCTCACGCAAAAATGGCCCCAATACCACTGTTGTTAACGCAAATAGCACAGCCAGCAACATTGTCATCATGCAGTTTAACCATGCCTATCAATTACCCATCAAACTTGTCAGCAACCATAACTTCACCACCGGGAAGGCACATGTGTCTATGCTTATACACGGACATAACCTTTTTGGTCATCTTGATGGCACAATTGTTGCTCCTCTAATCACACTTACAACAAAAAATGAAAGCACTCCGAATCCAGCTTATACGAACTGGTTTCGACAAGATCAGTTTGTCCAAAACGCCATCTTAGCATTGGTGGAACCTACACGTGCATCAACTGTTGCAACAGCTACATCGGCACACAAAGCTTGGGAATCCCTGCACACTACCTTCACCAATAAATCACATACAAGAATTATCAGTCTCCAAGATCAACTAGCTCGTATTACCAATGATTCTAGGCCTGTTACTGACTATTTACGTGACATACATTCAATTGCTGATGAACTTGCAATCGGTGGAGCACCAATCACTGATGTGCAACTTACTGTGAGAATCCTCCAAGGCCTTGGTACTGACTATAACACTATCTTGATAGCCATCCGATCACGTGAAACATTGATCATTTATGAAGAACTTTATGAGAAACTTCTTGATCATGAGATCTTTCTTAAGCACGAAGAAGCCCAACTCACACCACATATTACTGCTGCAATTGCTCAAAGAAACAATCAAGCACCTTCAAAGAATAACAACAACCAAAAGCAGGTAGGTAATACCTCACAAGGTAGCCAACAATGGCGTTCCCAGACAGCCCGAGACTCATCAAATACCCAGCAGTGGCGCTCTTGTCGAAATCAGCAGCCCCAAAACAGTGACAATTTCCTTCGCTATCAACTCTGTGATCGCCTCGGTCACTCTGCCTAAGTGTGTAGATCCCAGTCTCACAACCACTTTCAGGCTCGCGCAAATTATGTTGCTCAGTTTCCACAGCAATAAGATCCATGGATTGTTGATTCCGGGGCCAACCATCACATCATAACTGATGCTCGCAACTTGACCACTTCTAAGGACTACCACTGACCCGAAGAGATCTCAATGGGAAATAGTAATACCATTCCAATTTCTCACACTGGTAACACTCACTTATGTGCATCAAAAAAAGCTTCAAACTAAATGAAACCCTTTGCGCCCCAAACATAAAAAGAAATTTTCTCTTTGTCTCTAGATTTTGTAATGACAACAAACATCTATTGAATTTTTTCTTCTTAATTTTCTTGTGAAGGATTTGACTACGAGGGCGCCTCTAGTGTGCGGGAAGAATAGAGATGGGTTGTACGAGTGGCCACATGAGACTACACACATATCTCAACCTCAATTAAATTTGGTTGTTCATCGTCTTCCTATTGACTTGTGGCATCGACGATTGAGGCATCCAAATCGTCACAGTTTACACAAACTGTTAACAAAGTTTTCAATTCCATTTTCTGATTCAAAAACTTCTTCAGTTTGTAATTCTTGCAATTCAAACAAAATGCACAGGTTGCCTTTTTCTAAAAATACATTGCAAAGTCAACAACTACTGCAAATTATCTACAGTGATTTATAGGGAGTTTCCTCGGTGTTATCCATTGATAAAAAGAGTTATTATACGGTGTTTGTTTATCAATTTTTGAAATATATGTGGATATATACTTTGAAAAATAAAAGTGAAGTTCAAGATGTTTTTAAAAGTCTACATCCATTACTTGAACGTCGCTTTAATACAAAAATTCTCTCATTTTACACTGATGGTGGTGGTGAATTTGAAGGATTATCTCCCTATATAAAAACACATGGTATTGAACATCTTGTTTCACCTTCTTATACACCTCAATGTGTAGCTGTAGTTGAATGACGTCATAGACATGTTGATGAAACCGCCAAAACCTTAATTCATCAAGCCTCACTTCCCTCGATTTTTTTGGAGCTTTGCTTGCCGTCATGCAGTTTATCTCATCAATAAATTACCCTCAGCTACCTTAAAAGATGACTGCCCCCATGAAATACTTTGAAGACACCCCAAAATTTGATTCAATAAGAACTTTGGGGTGTTTATGCTATCCTTGGCTTCAACCATATACCAAAAATAAGCTTTAGCCCCGTTCAACTCTATGTGTATACCTGGGTTTTTCCAACAAATATTACTGCCACCAGTGCTTTGATCCAATTTTGTCAAAAATATTTTTGTCAAGGGATGTTTTATTTTTTGAAAATAATTTTTCTTTTCAAAATATTCTCTCTCATTTATCAAATTTTCAAATTAAATTATGGGATAACACTATAAAGGAAAATGATCAGAATTTCACATGTGAAGCTCAAAATTTGAACATGGATCTTCCTCCGGCTATTGCGTGTGGACCTTGCCCACAAAGTTCGCTCATGCCACTCGCCACAAACAGAGAGCAATCCCAAAGTTCAGGTACTCTCTTCAACTCTCCTCATAGTTCTATATCTAATGAAGTCGCAGTTTGTAATTCAAAATTCACGGCAACCACTCAATCCTTCTTCGTTAAACCCAACTACCCATTTTCAATAAGAAAACCCACCCCTGTTAACTTATCGACGATGCAATCCACCTCCAGCTCCCTAATCCTTACCCTCATTGGCCATCCAAAACACCCATTTGTCTTCTTCCATACCTAACATTGCACCTCCTTCTACTCCACATTTGTCGGCTATCATCACACCCTCCAGCACACAACCCATCAAACCCACTTCAGTTGTGCCTGCCACCACAGCCTCGAGTCACTCAATGGTTACCCGTTCCAAAAATAATATCCCTAAGCCCAAACATCACTCTAGCTTTCTTGCTCACTCTCCAAGTCCAAAAATGCCTTCTTCTTACAAAAAAGCTCAGCGTGAACCCCACTGGAACATTGCTATGCAAGCTGAATTTGATGCCCTTGTGAGAAACCATACGTGGACTTTTGTTCCCAACGATCCTTCTAAGAATGTAGTAGACTGCAAGTGGCTCTTTCGCATTAAGCATCATCCTGATGGCTCCATTGATAGGTATAAAGCTCAATTAGTGGCCAAAGGCTTCATTCAGCGGACTGGACTTGACTACCATTCAACCTTTAGTCCAGTAGTCAAGCCTACGACCGTTCGCCTGGTTCTTGCTATCGATGTTCAATGCAACTGGTGTTTGCATCAACTTCATGTAAATAATGCATTGTTGCAAGGTCATTTAGAGGAACAAGTTTATATGCGACAACCTCCTGGCTTTGAGCATCCAACTTTGTCCAGTTATGTCTGCTAACTTAACGAGCCATCTACGGTCTCAAACATGCACCTAGAGCTTGGTACAATGAGCTTAAGAACTTTCTGGTAACGCAAGGTTTTTGTTAATCACACTCTGACTTATCTTTGTTCAACTTTCATAATTCAGGATTGACCATTTACATCTTTGTATATGTGGATGACATTATTGTTACTGGAAATAGTGACCATGGTGTTCGACAAATTATCAACGCCCTTGCTCAACGGTTCTCTCTCAAGGACCTGGGCTACTTGAACAATTTTTGGGTGTTGAAGTTTTGTCAAATCAAGGTGGACTATTGTTGTCTCAACAGAAGTATACAGAAGACCTTCTCCAGGTAGCGAATATGCAATAGAGCAAAGGAGTTTCCACTCATATGTCTGTAGCTACTGTTCTCAATGTAAACCAGGTTGATCCTATTGTTGATGGTTCTCTCTTACGGACAATTGTTGGCAAGCTACAATATTTGTCCTTCACTAGACCTGACATCACGTTTACAGTAAATAAAATCTCTCAGTTTATGCATTGTCCTCAAGATAATCACTGGAAGGTTGTTAAGCGGTTGCTTCGATATCTCAATCGAACCTCTTCCTTTGTGCTTCAAATAACCCATTAGACTGATAACCGGATTATGGTTGTTGGAATTATAACCCCCTTTATTCTGTAAAGGAACACATACTAACGACTTGTTCATTACTGTTTGTGAGTTCTAGTAACTAATTTCATAAAATAATAATTAGTTCACAACTTTGTATTATTTATCTCAACTCCAAATGACACAAAAATTCACACCTAGGTAATCTAAGTAATTATAAACTCTAATTCCTAGCTAAGAAATTATAAACTCTAATTCCTAGCTACCTAAGACAAAAAACCCCAGGTTTAAGTCTTTTGTCGTCCGTCAAGTTTCTCAAACTTGTTAGACGAATCCTACACACACACTTGATTGTAATCAAAACTCTTAACTACAATCTTACAACTTTTTTCTCACAAACTCGCAACACTCCCCAAGTAAATCTCAAAACTCTCTCAAATTCTTATCGTGTTTTGATCTTCTCTCTATGTAAGTGTGCAAACTTCTTCGAAGAAGTTATTGCCCTATTTATAGATTAAACCTCCTCAAAGTCTTGTTCAACTCAAACTTGACTTTGTTGCATCCTCAACACTTTGTTCAACTCGAACTTGTCTTCAGTTTTCTTTCTTGACTTCATTTTGATTTATTTCCTTCTTGAACTCTTTATTTACGCCCCTTATTTCCTTCTTTGATCATGCTTCCTACTTCTTTTGGGATTTATACCTATGTTTACACTTGACTTATTATGCGCTCCCTTTTCCTTGTAGGACTCCTCTATAAAAAGGAAACTTTATGTACTGGTTGCTTGTCGAAAAAGTAATCCCTCAACTGCTTTATAACTTCTAATTTGTGTGGTTGATGTTCTCCTTATCCCAGTCGGATTTGGTCTGAAAGGAACATGTCGCACAACCGGTTCCTTTCATATGTTCCTCTATTTGTCAATTATCAAAATCTTTCTCGATTTAACAAATTTCCCCTTTTTGATGATGACAAACCATTGCTTCTTGTGTGAATAGATCAATCTGTGTTATGTCAGCTTCTTAAAGTACAACACACAAAAGCAAACACATTAGAGGATCAAGGTAGACCAATTGGGTTATAAATATTACACAAGCATGCACTTCCCCCTTTTGACATCATAAAACACTGTGAAGGCATACACCACACTAAGAGAAGCAAATTCGATACTCATGGCCACTAGGGCTATCACCTACACAAACACTTATAAATCAAGAACTCAGTTAGCTCTAGCAAACCATTTACACAAACATAGGAGATAGACATGAACTTGAAACTCAAACCCAACATTAGTATCAATCAAAAAGCATATACACCACAAATGTAATCAAAATTAAAGATAGAATCAAGCACTTGTGATGAGGGAGAAAATGGAAGGTCAAAGGCTAGAGTGGCAAGGCAATATCACAAGATCGGGCATGAGAGGGTAAATAAAAGTCCTTTTTCAGCAGCACAAAAACCATATTTTGGATTAATAAAATTAGTAGTCTTCTCAATTTCAAAGGTAGCTTTGGTCTATGCAAGCTCAGCCTTGAGCTTTGTGTTTTATTTTCTTTAGCAGGCCTACATGTTCAAGATCATAGTTCATATGCAGCTGGTCCATGGCATTCTGGTGAGTGATACATATGACTTCAATTTCAGCTTATTTTTTTCTGTTTTGTATCACCTTTAAGGAACTAGTTCAATCTCTGGAGAAACAATAATTCACTCATCTCTAACCCCCAAAATCAGTAATCACCTTGCCTAAGAGCATTGTCCGCTTCCCAAAGTTTACAAATCTAATTTCAATAGAGTCATCTTTAATTTCAATAGAGTGAGTAAGAGGAATCAATTTTCTTCAGCATCATTTATAGAGGAACATGTTCTCCCAATCGGTTCCCTAGACATGGTACTAGCAGGTGCAGCACCAACTATAATAATTTTTTACATCAATCCTAAATCTCAGTTTATATGGATCCCAATAGAAGAACTAGGTTCGACAAAAGGGTCTCCCATTGATTTCCCCTCACAAGATGCACCCAAGTTGAGCCTAAC